GCTGAGCATGTTCTTCCCTTTTGGTTTTCTAACTCCAGGTCTTTGCACATTTCATTGTAATATTTTTCTTTGTCTTCTCAAGCTGCCCTTTGAAATCTTCTGTTCAGCTCTTTTACTTCATCATTTCTTCCATTCACTTTAACTACTCTACGTTCAAGAGCCAGTTTCAGAGTCTCTTCTAACATCCATTTTTGTCTTTTCTTTCTTTTCTGTCTTTTTAATGACGTTTTGCCTTCTTCGTGTATGATGTCTCTGCAGGAGACCACTACTCTAAGGATTGATGATTGCCAACACTCCATAGTTGGGAAAAAAAAAATGATGGTCTCTTCAGTGTAAGAAGTAAATAAGGAAAAAGAAAAGACGTTTTAGGAATAAAAAGATTTTTACTAGTCAATTTTTTGTTACCAAAGTACACTTTCTTATTTCACTTCATTTTGCTTTGTTTTGTACTTTTAAGAATAAAATTATGTGTCCTGTGAGTGCTTTTGTTTTGTTTTTTAACTAAACCAAATAATTGACTGGAATAAGTTAGAATTAGTTTTGTAACATCAACTCCAGTTTGAGGGTCTGATGAAACACTATATTGCGTGTAAAGAATTATGAGTTTACTTTCCACTTCTTACTTACAAAAGAATGTATTTGCTGGGATAAAACTTCTCACGGCTTTAAAAAGTTCATCTTTGCAACCTCACAAGAGCCTTCTCTAGAGTTGTAAAGTTTACAGCATGGATCATGGAAATGACTATAAACTATTAAATTACAGACAGGAAGGATGTTTGGGAACTTTTGTAAGTTGTTACATTGCTTCTCATCTGGCCCATTCCAAGCAAGAAGGCTAAGGGGCTAAAGAAACTTAAAATTCATTCCAAGGTCGCAGGAAGTTGTCTGCCCAATGCTGTGAATCCCAGACTTCCCCAAAGAACAGTGGAAAGGAACCTGACCAGGCCAGTAAGAAACAGACAGAAAAGAAAAGGAGTATATAGAGTAATAACCTGATTAGATAACAATACTTGTTTCTTAGAGCAAAAGCTGGACAAAGAGAGATTTAACTCACCAACTCACCAAAAACAATCAATAGAGGAGGAAGAGGGTGAAAACCGCCATGATGTCAGTCAGGATGGCAAGTTCAGAAGATTTAACAATAAAATATGTTTAACAATATGCCACAGACAGGGCCATAAAAAAGATGACACCAGCATAGAACAGACCCCAGGATAGCCTAATGAGGAATCGAAGTGTCATTTTCATTTTTTATGTTCAATTGAAAAGGAGAACCTAAGAATGGGTATTAACATCATTCATTCATTCTCTCATTTAACAGTTATTCATAGAATCTTCTAGGGTATGTAATTAGTGTGTGATTATTTGGAAGAGAAGATATTCTTCATCTTAAAATTAATACAAATAGAAAAATGTGAACTTGGAAGAAAAGTAGGCTTTTCAATCTGACAGATTTGGATTCAGACTGTGTCTCTACTGCTTCTAGCTCTGTGATCTCAGGCAATCTATGGAACTACTTTAGACTGCTTTTCTTCCTATGGAAAATAGAGATGACACTAATGTGGATTCAATGAGATGATGTATGAACAGAGCCTTGTCCTAGTACATGGCAATCCCTGAGCCAATGTTTCCACCTATGTTCCACTTCTCTGGGGATAAAAACAGGCAAACAAACAACACCAACAATTTAAAAAGTCATGGATTTCCACGGAATTAGGAAATTCTTCCTTATGCCTAATTATAATACCTCTCTCTTATCCCAAAAGCTCTTAAAGTGAGGTTCATCTTTTTCCTGATATGGACAACAAATATTCTACATACTTTAACTCCTTTCATATTCTGTTAATATAGAATGACCCCTGTTGTTGTTCTTGACCTCATGTGACAGAGTAGAACTGCCCCATAGAATCTTCTTGGCCGTAATCTTTACAGAAACAGAAGTGTTTCTCCCACAGAACTGCTGGGTGGGTTCTAACCACCAACCTTTCGGTTAGCAGCCAAGTGATTAACCATTGCACCACCAAAACGCATAACCCATTACCGCGGAGTTGATTCGGACTCATAGTGACCCTATAGAACGAGTAGAACTGTCCCATAGGGTTTCCAAGGAGCGGCTGGTGGATTCAAACCACAGATCTTTTGGTTAGCAGCCAAACGCTTAACCACTGTGCCACCAGGGCCCCGCTGCACCACCAGGGCCCCGCTGCACCACCAGGGCCCCGCTGCACCACCAGGGCCCCGCTGCACCACCAGGGCGCCTTAAAACGACCCTTAGACGTTTATAGGAGGCCTGGTGGCGCAGTGGTGAAGAAACATTCTGTTTTAACTTTGTACTTTTTTAAATGAATACACATTTCATTTCCATAAATACTTTTTAATACATTTGTTATCTAACTTAGATTCTCTACAATATTTAGCTATTGAAGGGCCTCTATAAATAACACTTTTTAGAAATTTATTTATCTAACTCAATTTGAGGGCTTCTTTGTTAATTCTTTACATGTCATTTCATTTATATTAATCTGATGTGGGGAGACTACCAAATTCCCTTTTCTCTATGAAGAAAATTTACTCTCCACTTTCCTTCTGTGAAAACATTAGAGTGTTGAAATAGGAAACTTACCAGAATTTTGGATCTGGAAGATTCTGTACGTTTTTACAATGTAAGAAAGATCATATAAAGAATAATTTTGACTCTTTGTGCACATGTTTGAGAATATCTCTAGATATGTTGTCTAGAAGATAAATGGCAGAGCTATAGGGTTTGGAAGTTTTATATATACAGTTAAAAATGAATTACCTGTTTCTACTCCCACCTGAACTATACGAGAATTCATCTTTCCTGCATCCACTCCAATGCTGGATATTACCATCCTCTATAATCCCTGCCTAACTGATGAATGTGTGTAGTATCTCACTTCTGCTTGAGTTTGTATTCCTTTACAGAGAAGTCAAGAATCTTCTCATTTAAAATTCATCTTTTGTGAATTGTCTTTTCATGTTTATTGCCCATTTTTTCCATTCGACTTTTTAAAAATGTATTTATAGGAGTTCTTCATAAATTCTGGATATTCCTTTCTAGGTTTTGCCTGTTTCAGAACCTTTCTTTAGTCACATGCTAGTTCTTTAACGTTCTTAATCTTCATTTAAAACTTCTGTACAACAAACAAATGATAAGTTTTATTATAATCAAATTTAACAATTTGTACTGTATGACTGATTTTTTTGCAAGATGTGCTTCAGAAGTATTTCCCTTTCTGGAAGTCAGAATACACTCTTCTACATTTTCTTCAAATTGATCTGAAATTCTATTTGTCACAATTATTTTTTTAATCAACTGGGAGTTTATTTTTGTGAAGACACAAGGGACCTAATTTTTTTTTTTTTTCATTTTTCAAGCTATTGTCACAGCACCATTTACTTAATAGTTCTTAGGCTGGGTTCTCTAGAGAAGGAAAACCAGTAATGTGTATAAATATGTATGTATGAAGAGATTTGTATCAAGGAAATGTCTCATGTGGTTGTAGAGGCTGGAACATCCCAAGTCTGTGGATCAGGATAGAGGCTTCTACTGATTCACGTAGCCGCAGGGGCTGGTGAACCCAAGATCAGCAGGTCAGAGAGCAAGGCTCTTGCTCACAGGCTGTGAAGATTGACAAATCCCAAGACTGGCAGGTAAGACCGCAGGTAAGACTGCAGGTAAACTGCCAGCTCAAGTCCTAAGAACTGGAGGTCAGACAAACAGGAGCCAGCTGCAGGATCCTGAATGAGCAAAAGCCCTAGAGCCTTGCCAGAATGTCCACTTATATTCAGTGCAGGCCACACACCCAAGGGAACTCCTTTTCAACTGACTGGCTACTCGCAGCAGATCCCATCATGGGGGTGATCACATATCAAACCTCAACAGTGAAGTGATCACAGCATTATACAACAGCCAAAACACTGAGAATCATGGCCCAGACAAGCTGACACACAACTTTAACCATCAAAAGTTCTTTCCTTCCTCATTGGCATTTTATCCCCCCCCCCCTTTATCTCCAGGCGTGCTACTCTTTCCATTAATCTCTTTGTATATCCCTCCCACACTGTCTTAATTACAAAAGCTTTATAAGAAGTCTCAATAAATGACAGGATAGATCCTTCCCTTTGTTTCGTTCTTTAAAAGTGCCCTGGAGCATTAAATTTATGTTCATGGTGGTGGAATGTTTTGGAAAAGAATAATGAGAATATTTGCACAACTTGAAGAATATAAATCAATGTTTCTGAAGTGTACATGTAGAAATTGTTGAGATGGTGAATGTTTTGTTATGTATATTTTCACCACAATAAAAATAAATAAATAAATTGCCCTGGTTCATGGGGGACTTCACCCTCTGTGATTGAGAATGTTAGCTCTTCACCAAAATGCATTTATTTTGTTCTTTGTTATTCTTCCCTCCCTTTTTTTTTCCCTGAATACATAGCTACACTCCATTTCACAGTTCTTTTGTGACCAAGTGTGGCCATGAATTTGAGATCTTACCAAGAAAATGTGATCAGTAGTGATGTGAACCATTCTGAGCCAAGGCTTTTAAGAATTGGATGTGTTCAGTGTAACCTCTTCCCGAGTACCAAAGGAGATGACAGAACCAACAGATGGATAACCCTAGTTTCCTAAATCACCACTGGAGAAAGGACATCCACTAACCAGGCATAGCTACCTTGGACTCTTTTGTGAGGAAAAAAAATCTTCCATTTTGTTTGCGCCATTATACTATATGGGCTTGACTTTTTATTGCAGTTTACACTGCCCTGATAAATACACCTTTCTACATGAATTTTGGAAACATTTCGACAAGTTCCATAATGAAATAATATTTCAGTGTTCTTACTTAAATTTTGGACATTCCTACATACCATAACTACTCTATCAAAGTCTGACATTATTTACTATTTCTATCCTCTTGACTTACTAGAAAGAAACTTCAACATACCTTAACTCTCTGCAGAACTTCCAATCACCATCATCCTTGTTATTACTGTACGGAATTGTAGTTCCACTTTCTCTGTTGAACGTCCATAAGAAGAGATACTTTATTACAATCAGGAGTTGATTATTTTTTTTAACGGATTTCACAGGTTACAAAGGGGAGGCTGTGATATTTTTGGAATTGTGCTTCAGGTGATGTGAAGGGTCTCCCTCTGAACTAGGATTTGGATAGGCTTTCCTTGCATTAAAAACTCATAACCTTTGTCCTATTTTCTTTAGCTTCTGTCATTGATCATCTGGGAGAGTCAAAATGGTGTGGATTATAAAGTGAGTGATTATATTTTGAGTAGCACAGACATGCCAAAGAAACGTGGGATGAGTGCTAGGGTGGGAGAAAGTCTGGATGGGGATCAATACATTTTGGAGTCTTGGTTAGTAACAGGATTGGATATGCAGATACGATGGAATATGAGCCAGACTGGGACATCCTCCTGCATAATCTTCCCTGATGAGGGGTGCTTATTGCCATAGGAGCCCTCCCCAGCCACTGTATGTACGAGGTGCACTTAGAACAGTATTACTCAAGGCACGGTCCAAGGACCTAAACCCTGGCTTCTGGTCAGTGAAGAAAGCAAAGATATGCTTTCAAAGCCTTTGTAGAAATTTAACATTTCTGCAACATCACCGTACATGTTCGTGCATTTTAAAAAAGTATTGGTCTACAGATTAGAAATAAAAAGTAAAATGGTGCTTTCACCACCAGTAGTTTGAGAACTAGTGCTGTAGAATATTCCAGGAGGCTAGAATTCTTCCAAAGGTTCACAGCCCACCAGAGATGTGCTGGTGCTGGCTGAAATAGGGAAGTAGTGATTACTGTGAAAGAAGTGTGTTGTGAATACAAGTACAGGTGATGCTGTCGATGCATTTGGTATTTGGAAGGTCCAGTCACCCTACTCTTAGGCGATTGAGCAACATTCGTAACTTCCAAGAATGTGATACAAAATGCTACTTCTGCTTTTTATTGTGTGTGTGTGTGTCTGTCTGTGTGCATGCACGCTCATGATTTGTGCGTGGGTAGGTGGGTGGGAGGTAGATGGCATTGGTGAGGGAATTAGCAGTGCAGAGATGCAGTGATGCGTCAGGTAAATTTATATCTGGAGGTCTTTGAAAAGAGCCCTTTGAATCTACAATTGGGAAATGGAAGTACAACGGGAGACCAGCCGCCTCCCCTGGTAGAAGCAGCAAATCACAGCCTTAGCACTTTCCACCTGTAGCAAAGGGTGTGTTTGCTGGATGTGGGGGTGGGGGTTCTTAGAATTTGGTGCAAGAGTTTTTACATACATTTTATTGCAGAAGGAACCCAAAATATTTCCCAGAAGGAGATGCTTCAGTGCATAATCCATTATCACATCTTTCCATAGCCCAATCAACCAATACTCCCCAAATATGATTTGCTGAGCCTCTCCTGAAAACCACGGGAACTTAATTGTTTCTTAATTGCATAAGGAAATAATTTGCTTAAGCTGAATTACATACCCCCCCCCCGCCACAAAAAAAAGTTCTTCTAGTAGAAGGATCCCTGGTGGCGCAGTGGTTAAGAGCTAGGGCTGCTAGCCAAAAGGTTGGTGGTTCGAATCCACCAGCTTCTCCTTGGAAATGCTATGGGGCAGTTCTACTCTGTCCTATAAGGTCGATGAGTCGGAATTGATTCGACGGCAATGGGATTGGTTTTGTTTTGGTTCTAGCAGAAGCATTGGTGTTCTGGGAAGGCTGCCAGGGGTATGACTTGAATAACTAGACTGAGACTTTTAGGCATGAAGTCAGCAGCTCCCTCCTGGTCTCTGTCATTTGACTCTTAGGTCCTAACGTTTGAGGGAAGTGACCTCCTCCCTCTACATCGTGTTGGCCAGCGACAGGACCCCACAGTTGTCATGAACTAATATACAGAGATAAGGAGTGGATATGTCCCTGCCTGAAGTCCTCATCCCATTCATAGACAGGATTAAGCTTGTGGTGGTGCTATTTCCTAGAGATGAAGCTGGGGAAAGGTGTCCAGGGGCCAGTTCCAATGGGAGGCATGTTATCCAAGGTAGCCTCAGGCAGCATTGCCAGAGGAAGAACCTACACATGGCTGTAAAAGGGTCTGAAAGCCCATGGGGTGGCAATTGGAGGGGGGAATACTATTCCAAAAAAAAATCATTAGGACAGAGTGTCCAGGACCCCCAAGGATTGTTCACGGCAGTGTGAACACTCATAAGGAACTGTGCAGGACAGTACAGGGGCGAGCTGGAAGACAAGGTGATCTCCTTACTGTGGAATCAGCCACCATCCACAGTAGCCTGGAGACATCATTCTAATTCCAAACCCCTTAGATTTCTTATTGTAAATCAGCCCTGCAATGTAAGCCAGTTCATTTCACTGCCCTCATTCCTACACACGTGCTCTTTAATCCTACCTGAATCAAAAGTAACAACATGACCTTGTTATTATCATTTTAATAGTTTGACTGTAAAGGTTCTGATTTTCTTCCTGACATGCTGATATTAATGTCAGAAGAAAACCTTTACAATTCACCATGAGAGTGAGAAAATGCTGCTTATCACAAACTGTTCTGAGCAGCAAGCAATGTGGATTTAAAATAATACCTTTGTAATGAAAAGCACATATTTCTCATTCTGATTCAACACATTGTATCCAAAGAGTAAACAATACAGGGAAGCATCTTACACTTTAAAAATATAAGCCTGAGAAAGAAGCAGAGGTAGTAAAAACATTGCTCTAAATGTTACTGTTGAAAAAATTTCAGTTAGAAAAAGTGTTTTCAAAATGCCTGTGATTGTTGTACAATGAAAAACGAAACTCTCTCTCTACATATCTGTATATACACACACATATATAAAATCTGACAACTTGCAGTTGTGTCCACAAGATTTTCTTAAGTTCTTCATGATGATGAATTCATTAGCAAATGTCAATTCATTCACATACTCACATTTTTGTCTTAACATGATACAACAGTTGCAAAAAAGTTTTTTAAAAAAATAGTTATTAACCCAACCCGTTTTCCGGTACTTTATAAAACACCAGATATTCAGAAGCATTTAACTATTTAAAAAAATAATCTCTACAGAGATATTTGGCATTTAGTATATGGGCTCTTATTTATAATTGCCTGGTGGCACAGTAGTTAAGAGCTACAGCCAGGTGTGGCTGCTAACCAAAAGGTTGGCATTTTGAATCCACCAGCTGCTCCTTGGAAACCGTATGAGGCAATTCTACTCTGTTATATAGGGTCACTATAAGTCAGAATCGACTAGATGGCAATGGGTTTGGTTTTGGGGTTTTCATACAAACAAAATGGAGAAAGAAACAGAGATGAACTTATTTTGGGAACATACGAAAGCTGCAATCTAGAAGCTCAGCTTATCCCTTGGTCTCATTATTTCTAGAAAAAGAGTTCACATTTCTTCCTGGTTTCTATACCATTTCTACATTATGCTATAACGGTTAGCCTGGTTTGAAAGTTCCCATTCAGACTGGCTTGTGGAGGGAGGTTATGATCTCAACTCCCTAGGCTTTCCAAATGCTAAATTCACGTGACCACTCTCTTGGACTTGTCCTTTAGACTTTCAGCCAGTTCCTACACAGAGAAGTGCCAGTTGTACTTGGTTGGCTGCTTGAATCATATTATAAATAGCTGTTTTACAGAGGAAATCCAATATTTGTAACTTTACTTTTCTGTGCCTCAGGAGAAAGTGGCCAATTTCAAAACATAACACACTATCTTTAACAGTAAGAAAGTAAAGAGCTTAGTCAGAGAAAAGTCTTTTATCTTTACCCAGAGTTCTCGCCCTTCTGATTGACGTGTTGATTCAGATAATATAATCAAGTTTGGAACACTTTGAAAAGTGAATTCCTGACTCTAGCCTGCTTTCCATATCATATTTTCCTCCTCCATTTTCTGTATTTTAGGAAATAGCATCACCCTCTAATTGTCCAATTCCTAAAATATAGGAAGCCTCTTTCACTACCCTCTTCTGCTCAACACCCCTTGCACCCAATCCCTCAACCTGTTTTATCAACTTTAGTTTCCAGCTATATCCCAATCCACCCACTGTCTCCATAGCCACTGCTACCATGCTGTTCCAAGCTTCTGTCATCTGCCAATTAGACTATTGCCATCACCTCCTAACTAATTACCTTCTACCCACAGTTAATAGCATACAATCAATTCTTCACTCAGAGGCAAGTGCTATCTTTTTAAAAAATGTATATTGATCATGTAATTCTCCCTCTTACCTCCCTCCAGTGACTTCCCATTATACTTAGTTTAATGGTGTCCATTGTCCCATCTTACCTGCCCCCTCTCTATTTCTCCAGCATCGTCTCTAAACATTCCAGTGTGTTTCTGACTTGAGATAACTGTATGCGCTCTTCTCTTGGCCTGTCCAGCTCTCACCGAATTTCAACATGGCTGCCTTCTTTTTGTCTTTGAGTCTCAGTTTGTTATCTTCCACAAAGGTCCTTTCTGACTTCCACCTTTTCTGTCATTCAATCACGTTATGCTGTTTATTTTTGCATAGCACTTTCCTCTATCTCAGCATTTCTCAATCTCAATATTTTTGACATTTGGGGCCATATAATTCTTTGTTGGAGAGGGGGAGTGACTGAAAGGAAATAAAGGAAACAATAATTGGAAATTAGAAGGCCCAGGAACCAAGAAGGCACGATATTGGATGGATCATCTATGTAGATGTTGAGCATCCAAGAATAATGTCAGGAGTAGTGGTAAAGAGAAGTATTGTGATTCAGGCATCAAAATATTTAAAGAATGAAGAGGGGTATCCAGGAAATTGGTAGGTGACTTAATGAGTGACATTGTCTAATCACAATCTTTAAAGGAACCTGTGTCTTTGGGAAAGGAAAAAGAAAAATTGCCTAGAAGTAACATGGTGGAACAAAGACAGTACCTACCTCATCTTTTATCCCTGTAGTACCCATGGTGTGAATAAAAAACACATTTACTATTTGAGAGGGCTGTAGGAGAAGCAATGTCCTCAGCGAAGTGCCAGATTTCCATGCAACAAGTTAAACAAGCTCAGGTTAAAGATATAATGGATTGACTGATGACAGATCCTTTATTAGATGCAAACTATGGGCACCTTCTCACATTCCCTTAAATCCTTCTTTTTATTGTTGTTGTTCTTAATCTTTTTTTAAAAAGCAGTTTTGTTGATAAAATCTATATACCATACAATTAGCTCATTTAAACTGTACAATTCAATGACTTTTCATTTATTAACAGAGTTGTGAAACAAGCACTACAATCTAATTTTAGAATATTTTCATCACTCCATTAGAAACCCCAAGCCCATTAGCAGCTACTCCATATTTACACCCCCATCTTCAAAGTCAGCCCAGCGCATCGAGTCCTCCTTGGACTTCAAATCTCTCTGCCTTCCCCTTCTGCCACCAGCCACAGAAAGCTCTCTACATTTAAGGGCTCATGTGATTTGATCAAGCCCACTCAGATAATCTTCCTATCTTAGCTCCATACAACCTAACACCGTCATGGCAGTAATATCACGTCATATTAACAGGCTCAGAAGATTAGGGAAGAACATTTGGTTCCTTTGGTGGACTATTTCAGAAATTCTGCCTACCACACTAGTCATTAGGAATAAAAATAACTATTTGCAGGGTTATTGTGACACCTGAATAAAATAATCAATATATGCACGGAAACTGCAAATAAATGTGCATTCTTAGTTATATTAAAATAATACTGTTGCCACTATTGTACCATGCATCTGAAATTATTGTGGATCTGAAATTCTCTGTGATCCAAATTTACTGTTTCTTTTATAAGATGCCTAGGTATAAATCCTCTACTTAACGAACTCTCACTGAGATAATCGCATGCTTTTCCTTAATTTCTTATTTTGGGGGGAATATTGTCATAATCTGTCAATGATGGTTAAGGTTGTGTGTCAACTTCGCTGGACCATACTTCTCAGTGGTTTGGCAGTTATGTAATGATATAGTTATCCTCCATTTTGTGATATAATGTAAACACCTCCACGATATGATCAGACAATCCGTTGTAAGGGGAGTTTCCCTGAGGGCTGTGGCCTGCATCCAATATATATGGACATTCTGGCAAAGATTGCTGGCTTTTGCTCATTCTGGAACCTGCAGCTGGTCATTATCTGACCTCTGGTTCTTGAGACTTGAGCCAGCAGCCTGCTTTGTTGCCTCTTGATCTTGGGATTTGTCAGTCTCTACAGCCTGTAAGCCAGCAGGCTGCCAGCTGACCTGCTGATCTCAGGTTTGTCAGCCCCTGCAGCTACGTGAGTCAGGAGCAGCCTCCAGCCTGATGTCTGACCCACAGACTTGGGACTTGCCAGCCTCTATAATCACATGGGCCATTTCCTTGAGATAAATCTCTTTCTCTCTCTAACATTATATATATTACATATATATATATATATATATGCTTCACTGGTTTTGCTTCTCTAGAGAACGCAGCCTACGACAGTGTCCCTTGGCTAGTTCCCAGAATATCACACATCAACATTTTCTTATGAAAATTGCTTCCCTAAAGTCCTGAGTCTAGAAGATCATTAGTGCAGTAGGACAAATACTTAGAAAGCCCTGTCCTATTTAAGAAGTAAGCCTTACATATAACTATAATGGCACAGTCTTTGACAATTTGGTTCATTACAAGGAGTACTACTCTACTACTAATGTAAGTAAAGCACACTATAGTTTTCAATGTTTTTATTTGCCACAACTTATTTGTGCCTCATGAAAATCAAGTGAGTCAGTAGACCCAGTATTAATGTCTGCTTTTAAAACAAGGATTCTGGAGCTCTTCTAGAGTAAATAATTTGTCCAAAGTCATACGAGTACTCTAAATGTTGATAGTGGTGTTTTATTTTCATAAACTGGGAAGAGATAAAATTTCATAAACTAGGACAATGTAGATCTTAGTTGTAGAAGCAACTAAAATCAAAGTAAAGGTCCTCACACATTTTCCTTCCTATGTTCAATTAGCTAGAAACAACAACAACTTACCTAAATAACAATGTCCAATTATCTTGTGATTATTTTAAGGCTCCATATTTACAGGGTTCTTAGTTGAACAGGCAGCAACATATAGAGATATGGAAAATTAAGAATGATAAAATATTAGTGCTTTGCATAATAGTAGACCCTTGCATCTTAAGAAAACATACAAAACTCAGAAATGTTTCAATATTGAATGTTGGCTATGTATTTTAGAATTTTCACCAACTTGATCACTCAAATTCTTACTGCAATTATTTATGGCAACAGGTTCCAATTTTCCATTATAGGCCCAACAGACAAAACATGAATTTAACATCTAAAATCTGAAAAATGACAGAAAATGAAAATCAGTGAATTAAAGAAAACTTTAAAAAAATAAGTGAATGACAAAAAGCAAGTACCGTGTTGCTGTGTGATCAATTGACTCTTTCCCCCTAAAAGCTGTACATGTCTTCATTTGCACTTTATCTAACCAAAAAAGATAAGAAAGCATTCAATCTTTTGAAGCTCAGAGAAAATTAAACCCTCTCTGTATCCCCCTCAGAGACATAAACAATTCTACAGTAAGAGCATTTGTGAATGTGATGCTGTATAGAACATGGTCATCAGTTACAGACACAGAGGCTGCACAGTCTGCCTGAATCCCATGCCCTATCATGGCTCTCCCTACTTTATCCCAACCCTTTGTCCTCCCTCTAAAATTAATATTATTGAGTAAACTATGATACGAATTTCAAAAGTATTTTGTACCATATCTGAGATACGGTATATTAATGCTATAAAATATTGTCTTCAGAAAAGTCTCAGACTTAAACAGCATCACTGGGTGTTTGGGGTCTTTAAGGCTCTTCCTGAGGGAGGAGCTTCCACTTCACTGAGGGATCAAGTTCTTCCTCAAAAACATCTAGTTCCTGCTCCTTGGAGAGTTCCAGAAAAACCTGAAAGGGGTGAAAGGAATAGAGAGAGAGGACAGTCACATGGTATCCTTTAGATCCAAGTGGGTGGGAAGAAGATGCTTTATGATCCATTACAGTCACGTGGCTGATATAAAGTAACTAAAATGACCCACCTGCTCCAGGGTGGACTGAGACAGGCTGTACTCCTCCAGGTCGAAGCTCTGCTTCACTGCACAAGGATGAGCTTATGTTAGAGGTTCATGTATTTTCTATTCCAACAGTTTTACCAAGTCATGTACAAAAAGTAAATACAAGTAGGTCTTAAATATAAAAAATAAAGTAATATTCTTTGACCAAATATGAGAATGCAAAGTCACGCTCTAGTCATATTAAAAGAAAAAAAATCCATTGCCATCAAGTCGATTCCGACTCATAGTGAACCTATATGGCAAAGTAAAACTGCCTCACAGGGTTTTCAAGGAGTGGCTGGTGGGTTTGAACTGCTGACCTTTTGGTTAGCAGCTGACTCTTAACCATTGCACCACCAGGGCTCCATAGCATATAACAGGGTGGAAATACTCTCCCATTATGTTAAGAATTCCCGTAGAGACACCATTAAGGGTGGGAAACAATATAAGAGATTCCAGACCACCTATGCAGGATGAGCTATAAGAGACGGTGCCCTCTATGCTGAAAAATTACCATGTGCCCTTCCACATTGTCCTCCCTCTTCTGTATCCTGCTCTCTGTACCCACAGCTGCCTTAAGAGGCTCCTCCTGGTAGATTCTATCAATAAAAAGCCCAGCAGCAGGGACAGAGAAGTGGGATGTTCAAGGCATTTATTCCTTTCACTCCCTCCCTGAGACCAACTGTGTCCCTGGACTGAAGGTCACTGTTTCTCTCTGGTGGCAACTTCTACATGACTCTACTCCCAGGTTCTAGTCAATGCTTCCTCTCTTAGCCCCTTCGAATCTAGGAATGGTAACAGCCTGCTTCCAGTAATTGCACTGTTGCTTGTACCTTTGCAAACAGTTCCTTTGTAAACAAAACCTCCTTGAATTATCCTATTTTGAGTTCACCATCTGTTACCAATTCGGACCATGACTGAGACCACTGTCTTGTAGGTAGGTATATAAGAGGAAGAAAATAACAAATTGAAAGATGACACTGGAGAGCAAAGACTTCTTTTAGAGAGAATGTTGAGGTATTTCCTTTCTCCTCTCAGTGGACAGGGAATGTGGTGGAGTTGGCCCGCAATTTTTGGACACGGGGCCTGCGCCATGACTCTAGAAAAATGCAAAGAAGAAATACTGCAGATGGCTGGCTGCCCTGTATGTTCAGAGTCTGGGGACTCAAAGATGCTTGTGTGTTTCTTATGGCCTTCAAAGGGGACAACCCTCAAGAGGACCACCTGGCAGGGAAAGGTAATTCCAAGCAAGGGGTCCAGGGGCTGCCAATTGGTACAAGAGTCCAAGAGGAGGAGGCACCCCCCACCCCAGCCCAAGGAGCTTCAGTTAGAGGTTACAGATGAGAAGACAGAGGGGTCATCAAGGTACCCACAAACATACCCCATGAAAGAAGGTATAGCAATTGTTCATCTCAACACAGGAGGCTGTGAAACCATATCACACCTCTAGTGAGCAAGTCAGACTTTGCTACCATATTATCTCTCCTCCCTTCCTCTCCTAAGGAGTCCTGGTGGCGCACTGGTTAAAGCACTTGGCTGCTAACCAAAAGGTCACCAGTTCAAACCCACCAGCTGCTCCATGGGAGAAAGATGTGGCAGTCTGCATCCATAAAGATTACAACCTTGGAAACCCTATGGGACAATCCTACTCTTCCCTACAGGGTTGCTGTGAGTCGGAATCAACTCGACGGCAGTGGATTTGCTTTGGGTTTAAAGAGACCCAAAACATCAGCTTATGAGTAGGGAAGGACTAGGGTAAGAAGACAGAGAAAGTGACCATGTGCTCTCCCTAACTGCAGGTCTCCAGGCCTAAGGCAGATCTGACCTGGAGGGGGCATGTGAGGCTGGAGCTTTGCTGGAGTTCGCACCGCCCAGCAGTAATCTGGTAGCACAGAAGAATGAATTTACGTAGCAAGACAAAGGGACAGTCAAGGGGCGTGTATTGTGCTTGCATGCTATGCGCAGCCTACCTCATTTGGTAAATGCATTGCAGCTGAGAATTTAACTGTCTAAACAAGATTTGGAGAAAAAAATACTAGTTTATGTTTCCATATTTTGTACTTTGTGCAATCTTCACATAATGCAGCAGAAAACTGTGATAAAAAGGCTTTCTTTTGTTTCCCCTAAATGACAACCACAGTTTTAGCAAAATAAAGGACAACGGAAAGAATTTGAAGTGGGAGGGAATATTTTTGAAAGGGAAACATTAGAAGGCTTTTTGAGAAAAGGCTTCATGGTATTTTAGGAAGACAGACTTCCTAGAACATCTGCCTCCCTGACCCTAACTGGTTATGAAGTGCTTCCTGTTGATCAGAGTCCATTGGGAATCCTTCCCACTGCAATGATGCAGCAGTCTGCACATGCAAACTGACCACTAGGTCAGCATAGTCAACGCCGAAAATGACCACATAGACAACAGAGCAAGGGTGACCAACAGGATGAGAAAATGAAAAGAAAACCTGTCTGGGGTGACCTTAACCCTGTCACAAGGAATCAGAGAAGACTGTCTTTTAAGAACTAGGGTCTCTGACTAGGCGCAAATGAGAAGCAAGATAGTAGAGATCCAAAGAGGCATGGGGCGGACTCTCAGCTCATCAGCATTCATGCACTAACATGGCAGATGAAAAGCAAGCCCATGATCAATCGATGCAGTATGCGAAGACCAAAATCCAAGAGCCTGGAAAGAGTGATGGCTTAGCCCACCTGAACAGAGAGGAACCTCCTTATCAGCAGTATAATGCTACAGAAAGTGCATAGAGACAAAAACAAAGCTATATATTTTTTGTGTTTCTATAATTTTGTCAATATTCAATGCCCCAAATATCGGTGGTTTCTTCTCTCCAGAGCGTCATTCAATAACAGGGTTTCTCACTTGGGATTGGATAATTCTTTGTTGTGGGAGGCTGACCTGTGCATTGTAGGATGTTTAACAGCATCCCTGGCCTCTGCTCACTAAATACCAGTAGCATCCACCACCCCCACCTCCTGAAGTTGTGACAAGCAAAAATATCTCCAGATATTGCCAAATCATTTGTGGTTGAGGACCACTGAATTAGAGGTCTTAATAATTTATTATGTAATATTACCACTCTGTTCATGTATTTTTCATACTGGTTTTATTTAAGGTGCGAATTCTTCTGTTTGCCAGAGTCTTCTTTCAAAACAGGCACTCTTACCTGTTTCTAATTTGAAGGAAGCCTGGGATAAAGGTCGCACTTCCTCCACCGGCAACTTGTAGACCATCAGGGAGGAGTACCTGGGAGGAGAAAGAGTGAGGCTGATCTCTGGGTTTCAAGGTCACAAACACTGATGGATACCTATCTAAAAAAGGAGCAATTCTCATTAATAATTAGTTTAAACATATGTATCTGTATGGTGTTGGAGACAAATATGAGTGCTCTTTAATAACAGGAAATCAATTTACTAAAAGGATGGTTAGAGGACAAAGGAGAGAAAACTGACAGTGACTAGGTCTCAAGAAGAGAAGAAGCAGAAATACTTATCACCCTTCATTCTCAGAGAGAAGAGAACTTTAAGTAAAAGCAAATGCATGAATAAACAAAATGTGGTATATCCATACAATGAAATGTTAAAAAAACCAAATTCTTTGTGGTCAAGTCAATTCCAACTTACAGTGACCCTATAGGACAGAGTAGAACTGCCTCATAGGGTTTCCAAGGCTGTAAATCTTTACAGAAGCAGACTGCCACATCTTTCTCCCATGGAGCAGCTGGTAGGTTCGAATCACCAACCTTTTGGTTAGCAGCTGAGCGCTTAACCACTGGGCCACCAGGCTTCCTGATGGTGCATTATGCAGCCATAAAAAGAAATGAAGTTCCGATACATGCTATGACATGAACTTTGACGATACTATGCTAACTGAAGTAAGTCAGACACAAGAGAACAAATAGTGTATGATCCCACTTCCATGAAATATGCAGAGAAGGCAAATTCATAGAGACAGAAAGTAGAATAGAGGTTACCAGGAGGTTGAGGGAAGGAGTAATGGGGAGTTATTGTTTAATGGGTATAAAATTT